CGCGATTAAAATGCGGTCGGTTTCCGGTCGGACAAGACCGCGTGGTCGGAAATTAAGCAATAAGCGGTCGATGAAAAAGCGGAAGGTTGGGCGAAATGAGTACTGTATGACCATGTTTCTCCGACGAAGTCTCGACTGACAATAATGCTGACAATGGACGTTAGATAAACACGCATTGTTTGCAACTGGAAGCTTATCACCCGTTATATCAGAATCGTCAACAACAGAGTATACAGATAAGATGTTATCATTTAAACCCTTTCAAAGATAAACATTATGCAAATATCCACGAAACGCCAGTTGTAGTCTTTTCTGCTAGTGTTTTAAAACACTAATTTGAGCAACGTTATTTCGCAATTTCGATCTTTTGTAAACCTGGGATGATGTATCAAGGTCTAAAGTAACCGTTTTATCAATTTTTGAAAAATCAAGAAAAAAGTGAAAATTTCCCTTCTCGCTACCTTAACCAATGAATTCGAGTGTAAATAACGATTTAGACTAGATTAACATAACGATAAACAAAATAGTGACTGTGGGCGAACGAGATATGTCAGAGGTTTTTACTCCAAGATTTGTAGGGAAAATACATTTAGCGCGAAGATACTCAAAAATCTTTTGGCTATCGAGTTGCAACGGTTAGCCATTTTTTTTTTTATCAGAGTATACCACCTAAGTAGTGTGAAAATATGAACAAAATCGGCCCAACCAAAAACAATCACGGAAGAGTTAAAGCCGGGGAGTCGTCACCTGCGCATGCGTCAGATGGGCATAGCGTGTCATTGTTTACAAACAAGCATCTACCCATGAGCCTTTGCGTTTATAGCGTGTGTTGTTATCGTCGCTTGGGACTCAATTCCCGCGCGTGCGCAGGTGACGACCATCCCTCTTTAAAAAAGTTACTCCAATTTCGAAGTCACATTTTTCAGCAATGACAAAAATATCAAAAAAGAGAGTAAATTGAAGTTTAGTAGAATGAGATATGTCCGAAGTTTGGCGCGAAGGTATTCAAAAATAATTGCTTGCTGTTTCCATGGCAACCAAGGGCCATCTTTGTTTCTCGGAATTTAGAGTGAAGGCGTGACCTGCATATTAAGTTTGAATTAAATCGGCCCAGTCAAATGAGGATTGACACATATAAACCTAGTTTAAACCTAATTTAAACCTAGTGGAAATTTTGATTTAGCAAAAGAAAAATTATATAAAAAGGCATCGAAAACTTTTTTCTATATTAAGAAATTAATTACTACATCAACTAATATAAGTATACCAACTTGGATAAACATGTTTGACCATGTAATTCGACCCATTCTGACTTATGGATGTGAGATTTGGGGTTCAGAAAAATACACAGACAGAAGTCACCCAGAAATGCTCAACCTTAAAATGTCTAAAATGTTACTACATCATGTTAATCAGACGTCAACAAACTTAGCGGTGCGTGGTGAACTGGGCAGGCAA